ATATATATATATATATATGTGTGTAGAGGAATTTGGACTTGGCATAATGTGCAATGAAGACTACTGTACGTTCTTAAACCAGGAGTGGGGCTTGATGATGAAAATGATGACACAAAATCTCAAAACACAGGCCAAACAGGTATTTCTCCAGTCAATAAACAATGCAAAACTTGTGCAGGTAGGTAAGAGAGGTTGACCTAGGCCTTTAGCACATCAGTACAGAGATGTCAGCACTATAATCAAATAAACTTGTGAAGCTTACCAAATGCTGTAAGTGTTTGAACAAACAGCTACAATTTCACAAAAGCGCTGCTTTGCTAAAATGATCAAAAGTGCACTCAGGTCCCAAAGAGTATCATATTTTACAAGAACCTAACACAGAAAGGACAATGCATAATTAGTGCATGTGACATGGTTCACTTAAAACTGAAAATGACAAATCCAACCACACGTCATCTTTGCCTACTTAATTAGGAAGTCAGCCCACAAGGCTTCCTCCTGTTTTTATTTCAAATTGAGTTACAACTCCCCTGTGCACTCTATAATATGAGGCACTAAGACATCCCTGCCAGGAACAGTTGACTAGGGAAAAAAACACAAACGTTATTTTTCTTCAGAGCCAATGGATCCATCCTAGGTGCCACTGTTATAACTTTATCTCTAAATCATGGTACCTTCTCTGTCACTCAGAATATTCCATGCCCAGGGAAATCTGTCCTTAGCCCTTCCAACTTATCGCCCCATTATTCAAATCAATAGTGTTAATATAAGAATCCAAAGATCACCTTCTTTTTCTAGAACCAGTATACAAAAGAAGAAAACCCATGTATATTTTAATGAATCTGTATTTGGGGACAAGAATAATGGTGGATTTTTAAACAGGTACTGTATCTTTGCAGGCTCTGGCTGGCAGAAGCTCATTTATTCATTTGTTTTCTTTTAGTAGGAAGATAGTTTTTGTTTTTTTTTTTTTTTACCCCGCCAAATTCTTTTTTTTGAGACAGAGCCTCAAGCTGTCCCACTGGGTAGAGTACCGTGGCATCACAGCTCACAGCAACCTCCAACCCCTGGGCTCAAGCGAGTCTCCTGCCTCCGCCTCCCAAGTAGCTGGGACCACAGGCGCCCACCACAACACCCGGCCATTTTTTTGGTTGCAGCCATCATTGTTGTTTGGCGGGCATGGGCTGGATTCAACCCCGCCACCTTAGGTGAATGTGGCTGGCGCCTTAGCCACTTGAGCCACATAAATTCTTACAAAGTAAATGCTAACATATATTTTACGCCGTTCTTTATTCAATAATGTCAATAAGTACAGTATCTACCTTTTATGAAGTACTGAATGAGTCTGTATATACTGGGAATTATTTTTGAAAGGCAGTTTTTACCCTCAAGAAGTTACTGTAACCACAAGTGACAGGTTGCTGGGAGCAGGATATGGTGAGACCAGACAGACAACAACTTAATCAAGTTATCCAATTTAATGGCACCAATAATGATGACATAATAAACTGAAAAAGACACATCCCTCTTAGCAACCCCGCTAAAAAATGTTTAATTTGAATCTAGTCATGAGGATATAGTCAGACAATTCCAAACTGAGGGACATTCTTCAAAACCACTGGCTTAGATGCTTCAGATATATCGATGTCCTCTTTCACAACACCAATGTCACAAAAGGCTAAGAAACTGTTCCAGAGTAAACAAGATTAAAGAAACATGGCAACTAAATGCAATGTGCAATTCTTCACTGGATCCAGAACTGGGCGGGAGTGAGGGGAGAGGAACCTAGCCAAAAGGATATTATCGGAACAGCTGAAGGAAATTGAATGTAGACTATCAGACTATCTTTTAATAATAGTTATATCAGTGCTAAGTTTCCTAGGTATAATAATCATATCGTAGTAATGTAAGAGAATATGCCCTTTTTTAAGAAGGGATG